GGGGGGGGGGGGGGGGGGGGGGGGGGGGGGGGGGGGGGGGGCTCCGTCGCGTTTGTTCCATCGTGAAAATCGCTTCGATATTGTATTGCTGAATTTTTACGTTCGAGCCAGACGACGTGCGAAAGCCGTGCTTAACTGCGTAACGGCGCGCCGTTACGATTGTCAACGTTTCGGGGTCGTGCGGTGCGAAATGTAACAGGAGCATGGGGGGGCGTGACTCTGGCGCGACGAACAGAAGTTTCTCACTTGATAGGAGAGACCCGGTATCGGCGGGAGCGACGAGAAATGGAACAAGCAGGGGTCGGGTAGAAAACCATTTACCCCCGTTGATTGAAACTAACGGTTTACGAGCGTCTGCTCGATGGTATCGCGCCGGGGCCGTACGCAGGAAATTTCTCCGACTGACGGTTTTATTTTGAAATCTCCGCGTATACGTGTAAGCTGTCAGAAACAACGCGGCTTCCGTGCAGCGCGAATCGACGGGAATTAGAACGGTCCGCTGCCGAGGCCGTCAGCGAACTCGCATTTTTCTCCCGGCGCCATTGACCTCACCCCCCGGGGGCCGTCCTCGTTCAGCCAGCCGCGCCACACCCCCCGTTCCCCTCGGTTATGTCAAAACGAGGATACACCTCGAAGCAGCCGTTCCCGGCTCCTCCGCGGTATCGCGACGATTATCGATACGAGGGACGACGGCCGATCGGCCGTTCAAGTAAATTCTCCCTCGATCGATTCGCGACCGACCGACCGGCCGCGGCCAACCATCCATCCATCTATCTATCCAGACATCCAGACATCTATCATTCTGTACGGGAACCCCTCGCGCCCCGGCTGCCTCACCGCGCGCCGATCTATGCAACCGATTCCCTCTCGGCTCGCATTTCTTTCATTCCATTCATGCAACTTTCACGAGAACCGCCTGTACGGCATGCACGGCCAAGCAATTGTGCTTCGGCTCCACCGAACGGATGAAACCGAAACGAACGAGCGAACGAACGAACGAACGAACGAACGAACGACCGGACGGGCGAGGACCGGAACCGGAGGAGGGATGGACCGACCCGCGACCGACGGAGACAGGGGACGCAAATGGAAAAATGGTATCGTCTCGCCTGTACGCCACCGCCGATTATTCCACTGCTAGATCGTCGCTGACTTACGACTAAACTTTCCCCCTTATTTCCCGGCCTTTGTTCGGACCACGCTGCTCGACGACTTCCGCCTCGCTGGGCGGCCAAGGGGATGAACTCCGCGGCGTTCTCTGCGCGCCGATCGTGTGCCGCCCCTGGCCGCTTGTCGCGACTTACAGATTCACGAAAACTGTAATCGTGAGTTTGTAAAATCGTGAGTTTCTCCTTGTCGGTCGGTTAGATATTCTTGCGTCGTTACGATGATAGCCGAGACTAGCTAAAATACGTGTGTACACGTGCATCCGTTTACACATGCAGTTCATATATCCGTTTTTATGCTTGTAGTTCATATATTCGTGCTTTAAGCTGTGCTCTTTTTATCGTACGAACGACGGACCATTTTTACAACTATACGATTCACGATACTTTTAATTGTTTCCAGCTTTAATCATCAGTTTTTCAAATGTTTTTGAGGGTACTTAGCTTTGTAGTACTGTTAGTCTTTTTATTATCTCCAGAAGAACGCGATTTTATTTTGTTAAATTTCCAAACATTGAGTGATTTAATCTCACGAGTGTTATCATCTTAATGTGTCTTATTATCTAACCAAATTGCCTAATAACATTTAATCTATTATCGATTATAGTATTTAGAGAAAATATAAATTTTTCTCAAATCAAAATAAACGATCAACAGATTATAAATGATTAACTGAAATATCACGACGTTTTCATATTTCGCGCCTAACATAACCTAGTACATTATACCCACATCGGAAATGACTTGCATCATTCGTAAAAATCGAACGTTTGGTCATTTAGTTAATGCAATGACGATTACATGTTCAATATTATAAACGGATTCGGGACAAATATTATTTTCCGCTAAAATATATATCTGTGTTGATATTTGTGATGAAATTGAACACACCGCTTGTATGATTCGAGCGCATTAAGCACCCTCTGTGTTGTTTCCAGAAAAATCGGTATATTTAACCGAGAAAGTAATTTCCATTAGCTTCTCTTAAATAGTTGAATTACATTACGCAACGTTGGAACGCCACCCGGCAGAAAATGCAAACATTTCCCCTCTCGATTCAACGCGATACAATTAAATTTGATGCAAGTACCTACTAGCATAATGAACGATCGATAATCGACTATATTAGATTGATTAAAAATAATCGCGATAAAATGAACGCCATCGAATATAATGTTTTATCATTGTAATTTACCGGATAACGAAATAAACGATACTTACGTAAAATGCTCAGATTTCCAGCAGCACTCAACGTATTAACGGCTAACGAATTCGATGAAATCGAATCATTCGGGCCCAATGAATAATCAGCATCGACGGGAGCGAACGTTTCGCCAATTTCGAAAACTGGACACGTTAAGCAAATTCATGACTCAATTTGCATTCTGTAATAAAACTCGCGAGCTACCTCAGATAATTTACGCACGATGCGGCGCTCCAAAGGACTGCCGACAGTCGCTTCGACTGAACGGTGTTTTTGATGTTTCACCGGTATAAACAGCTTGTATAATAAATCACTTATTTCTAAACGCGACAATTATTCTTCAAATAATAATTGTAGTAGAAATTGTCACATCGTATCAATCGCCGTGCTTCGATGAACAATAATGTCTCTCTAATTGACGCTCAGATTGTCCATAAAAATG